AGACCGTTGTCTATTTTATAAAAAAATAATGCAAGGGCACACAAACATCCCTGATATCCCTGGTATTAATCACTGAAATTAATTCTGGTGTCAAACCCACCGGCTTTGACCCGCTGATTCCAAATTGTGAATCATTTTGCTTTGTATTCCTCAAGTACTAACTACTTAGCCAGCACCTCTCTCTACTGTCTCCTGTGGATTCCTTCCCACCATTCAGCAGAGATCCTCAGCTCGTGCATTCCAAACTCACCAGCAGTTGTAGCAACACCAAGGGAAAATTTAGGGACAGCAATGTTAGCCCATCTGTCCCTCCTCCTGAGTTGCTAAGACCCCTGAGCTACCTCTAAAACTAGAATATACAATCATTGGTTTTATTTATTTATATCATTCATACCTCAGCTGCTTAAGGAGACAGTATAATACCCTACAGAAAAAAATCTGTCATATGGATTAACAATTATTTCCAAAGGATGCAGAAGGGAGGTAGGGAAGAAACAAGAGCAAGCAACATGCGAGTATTTAGAGGAACAAGAAACATTGTGGAATATTGATGAAACAGTTGAAATGTCCCCAGTGCAATAGATGAGCTAAGTCCTGGGGGTAGGGAGCATCATCAGCTTCGACTGAATTCATTGTATGATGCACAAAGTTAGCAGTTTTCAACATCTTGGTCTTTGACTGCAGGCGGGAAATAGTGCAGTCTAATAATTAGAACATGGGGTTCAGTCAGGATTTCAGAGCAGTTCTTGAGTCCACATTGATTCATCAATCAATCTTGGGAAAAAAAGAAAAAAGAAAAAAAAAAAGTCCATTGTGTCTTTCCATTTACCTGTGTGTAATGGACTTAATAGGTCTTGCTAGTGGATATGTTGAATGACTAAAGTTCCAGAAGGAAAGATGCTATAAAAGTACAAAGTTATGTTAGTTATGAGTTCAAGAACACCACTTTGCTTTTAACAGTCTAGGCGGTAATGCTGGTAGCCATGTAATGCTCTCCTCATCTGCTTTGTTTCTTATAAAACTCTATTTCCTATGGTCGAGAGCTATTTCTCAGGATATTATTTTCTATATAACACTATATATTCAAGAAGCCCAAGAAAAAAAAAAAAAAAAGAAAAAAAGAAAAAAAAGAGGGCATTTTTTCCTATCTCCCTCTTCCCAGAAAATAACATAGTACCTAAGTTAAGATGAATCTTGACAGGAGTTGTGAATAATCACTAAGGAACAAAAGAAAAAGAAACAAAAGAACACTCAGGAAATCATGCAGTAGTGTTCATTGGTGATCATCAAAGATATAAAAGGTACTTACTTTGTAAAGTTTTTAAAGTGCAGGACTAGGACTTGCACTTTGGGTTTGCTGAAGAATTGTGAGATTTAGCATGAATGAGTTTATGGATTTCTTCCCCACTGTTCAGCATAGCTTTTAGATGTAAATAGGACAATAAATACGTCATTGTAGGATAAAACAGAACATCAGCCTTTTAGCTCTATTACTGTTATCTTTAAGTTTCCTCAGACAGACAAATAGTTATTTGTGGTTCTCGAGTCTAGGTGTACAGTTGATATCTGAAGGCAAAAAGTACTATAGAATTAGTCCCTCTCCTCTGGACTTAAGTATTTTTTTTTAAGATATATCCATCTGAAATTTTATATTTGTCATCACATGTTTTGAATACCATGATTAAGTGATTGTTAAGAGAGGGCTACTCCAAGTTTAGTGGGAATGATGACCCATGTTAACTTTATAAGAAAAGCTGGTTTTTGCTGAATTGGAATAAAATAGGTTAAAAAAAATTCTCTATCAGAAATGCAGATTATTTTGAACAGTATATAGTAATACATTTGGAAAACCAGTCATTGGTTTATCAAACCTAAAGATATATTGAGAGTGATTTGTCTCATGCAAATGTAACAGAAAAGAAGCTTAGTTAAATATCTCATTAGTTCTTTCAAATATAAAAAATCTGAATGATGTTAATGTAAGATGCTGCACTGACAGTCTAGGCACTGAGTTACTACAGTGTTATTTTTACTACAGACTGTTTTACTACATTCCAAATCATTGCCTAAAAAAGTGCTTTTATGGCTGACAGTGGATTTTTATCTCCGTGATTTGTTATGCATTTGACCTTTGTAGAAGATGCATTGGAGCTTAATTCTGCTGTGGGTGTTTAGTTACCAGGAACTCAGATGGAGGTGCATACAACCAAGTTTACATAAGTTGAACGGTCATTAGGAGATAATGACTTTCAGTCAGTACTATCTGAGGCTGAATTTGAAGCAGCATCCTGAGGGTCAAAGGCTTTGACTCATATTTCCTTTTCCCCTCTCCTTAGCAACTTATCAGACTTTTATCTTGTTATCAGCAGCTGTTTAAACAAAGATATGAAGACACATGTTTATTTCCTTTGAAAGAATCAACAAGAAGTATTGTGAGATGGTGTTTTCTTGAAGATGGGTTTGAAGAGGTAGCAAAATAATGTTGTGCAGGGGTTTTTTTATCAGTTTGCATTTAACACTGATGGAGATAATGATGAGTTCCTGAATATAAAGTTTTTGTATTCAATGAGCATGACGAGTGTTAAATCAACCTTGGAACAAAGTCCCTTCCATTTAATGAATAGAGGCAAAGAAAATAATTGGGTGATACTCCTCAATTCATGCAACTTAGTTTTATTGTCAATTTCCTACAGAGTCAGGAGAAGACTACGAATCTCGGAAGTCTTTCTGACAACACTAGTAAACAGTTTTGATACATTCTTTGGGGTTTAGTGCTTTTTTAGAGTTACTTTTGTATAAGTGGAAAATGATTGAAAATCTTTTCCTTTGCTGAAATGGAGCGGGGGAAAAAAAGATTATTAGTGCCGAAACTAAATCATACATTGTTTCTAATTGTTAGTCCTGTTCTATTTTTAGCTTAGAGGCCAAGAGCTCAATGAACCAGTGAGCAGACTTATCAGCAATATCTCATGAACTTGAAAGTTGCTTTTCTTGAAAGGAATAGTGATAATCTCACTGCCTGCAACATGGTTCATTGTTCCTCTCGAATACAAAAAGAACTTAAAGAAATATATTTTTCCAGGGAGGAAAAAAATAAAACACTCCAGAAAGTCAGGCATGGCCCTGCTTAGCTGGAGGGCAGATCCATGTACTGCTTTAAGTTCATGAGGGAAAAGACCTGATTTACAAAATCCTATGTTGTAAGGCACATGAATTAAATCATTGCAGAGTAGAACTAAACCTAGGATTTTCTGACAATGAATTGAACAAATTATCCTTTATACTACAAAATGTTGATGTGCCTTTATTTCAAAGTTATCAGAAGCAGTGGTCTGAAAGTGGAATTTCCACATGTAGTTTTATTAGATGATATGACTAATAGAAGGAGCACTAAGTCCCAGCACACAGGTGGTTCCTTACCTTCTAAAACTCTCTTAAAACTGTACTCTCTTCTATGTCGCTATTCTTACTATCCATACCATTTCCTTGCATAATCCTTACTTTATGTGCACCATGTGTACCCCAAAACTAGGGTCCAGCATCAGCTCTTTAGTCTCTCTTTGGCTGTGTTCTAGGTTCCCTGAAGTAGCTTTCCTCTGAGACATTAAAACAAACTGAAAGACTGGAGGGATGCTTCAAAGAATGTGTTCTTTCATTGAAAGCAGTGTTTTCTACAAACGGGTAAGAAATACCTCCACCATTCCTATGATATACCCTTGCAATACAATGTTTCCAGTCTACTTTGTAAAGAAGATGCCCACATACCGTGGGTACAATGACGGGTACAAATATGAAATACTTTAAAATTATTACATACTCAGCCCTTTCTACACTATGATTGAACTATTGTTCAAAAACTATGGCTGAACTATTGCTCAAAAATTTGTTAGTCAAGAGTTCTGTTCCTAATTGATCCAGGAACATTTTAACTAACACTAACATTAGGCCAGAATCATTACAGTGAATTAAAGAAAGTATGATCAAAACTTATGGATCTCTCTGTCTAAACACAGAGGGCAATTAACCTCAATGAAAAATCTAATAGCCTTCATTGCAGACAATCATAATTTGCATTGGTTGATTTCACAGTGCATAGAAAATCTTTAATTCTATAAATCTTTGTTGTGAAAGGGAAAGTACTTTGTCAGATATGGCAATATAATCCCTAAAATCTTCTGTTAAAACAATTTCTGTAAAGTATTAATTCAAAGTTGTAATTTATAAAATTTCTTTATACACCTGATATAATTGATGTGATGAGTTCCTTTTAGATCCATTATTTTGTAAGAAATGCTGTGCTTACAGTCCAAGAAGGAAAAAAAAAAAAAAGAGTAAGAGAGCAAGCCTTAGTATATTTGAAATAAAATCCTAAGATTTTATATTAAATGTCATCTTTCCATCCATGACAACTGTCAGTGCATTTATACATTAAAAAAAAATAAAAATTAAAAGGCCATTGGAGCTGGAAAATCTGTGAAAGTCAGAAAGAGTCTGAGAAAGCCTTCGTGTTGAATGGGGAGTGTTCAAAGAATGAGGTCAACAGCTCTTTAAAACAGTGCCATATCAATAAGTAAATGAATAAATATAATTGGGAAAAACTGACTTGAGAATGCATTATGTCTTGCTAGAGGACTGATCAAAGAGATGCTAACATCTGAATTAGTTATACCCAGATTTTCACTACTTACCATGTAAACTCCAAGGCCCAATTAGGATCTCTGCACATATGTAACTATATAGGGAACACAGTCCTGATTTGTACCTGCATACTGGCAATTTAAAAATAACACATACTTTTGAAAGCTCAATGCAAGTCAGTCCTGCTTTTCCCTTTGTCAAAGCACTGCCATCCCATAAATTGCCTTTCATTAGCTTTTTTTCCTTACTTTAAAAAAAAATCTTTTTAGCTGGTCAGCAAGTGCCCTTATTTTGCAAGCAGTTTTGGAGGCTTGCAATTCTCAAAACCACTCTGTCACTAAGCCCCCATGTACCTTTAACAGGGCCAGTTAGCTCAGTTGGTTAGAGCGTGGTGCTAATAACGCCAAGGTCGCGGGTTCGATCCCCGTACAGGCCAGAGAGCACTTTTTGAGTGGCTCAGTGAGGTGGGTTGAGAACTGGCTGAATGCCAGGGCCCAGAGCGTTGTGAGCGGCAGGGCAGAGCCTAGTAGTGGTGTGCCCCAAGGGTCAGTGCTTGGCCCAGTGCTATTCAACACATTCATCAATGACCTGGACAACGGGACAGAGTGTACCCTCAGCAAATTTGCTGATGATACAAAACTGGGAGGAGTGGCCAACACACCAGAAGGCTGCACTAGCCGTTCAGTGAGATCTGGACAGACTAGACAATTGAGCGGAGAGGAACCAAATGAAATTCAATAAGGGCAAGTGTAGGGTCCTGCACCTAGGGAGTAATAACCCCAAGGACCAGGATAGGTTAGGGGTTGACCTGCTGGGAAGCAGCACTGCAGAGAAGGACCTGGCAGTCCTGGTGGACAACAAGCTCTCCATGAGCCAGCAGGGTGTCCTCATGGCCAAGAAGGCCATTGGTATCCTGGGGTGGATTAAGAAGATCCTGGCCAGCAGGTCGAGAGAGGTTATCCTCCCCCTCTACTCTGCCCTGGTGAGGCCACATCTGGAGTTCTGTGTCCAGCTCTGGGCTCCCAAGTTCAATAAAGACAGGGAACCACTGGAGAGAGTCCAGAAGAGGGCTACAAAGATATTAGGGGACTGGAACATCTCTCATATGAGGAAAAGCTGAGAGAGCTGGGTCTGTTTAGGTTGGAGAAGAGAAGACTCAGAGGGGATCTTATCAATCCTTACAAATATCTAAAGGGTGGATGTCTAGAGGAAGAGGCCAGACTCTTCTCTGTGGTGCCCAGTGACAGGACAAGGGGCAATGGGCACAAACTGGGACACAGGAAGTTCCATCTGAACATGAGGAAAAACTTCTTCACCTTGAGGGTGACCAAGCACTGGAACAGGCTGCCCAGAGAGGCTGTGGAGTCTCCTTCTCTGGAGATATTCAGAACCTGCCTGGACATGATCCTGTGCAACCTGCTCTAGGTGATCCTCCTCTAGCAGGGGGGTTGGACTAGATGATCTCTAGAGGTCCTTTCCAACCCCTACCAATCTGTGAATCTGTGAATATACCATGCTAGAGAATTGTTGGTGAAGGTCCAGTCCTTTACTATAAAGCACAATTCATTTGTCCAGGTTGAAAAACTGTAAACATCCTCTTCAAACTAATATCCTGAAGACAATAGTTTTGCTTATCGATCCATCAACTTTGGCTTCATTTTAGCAGACTCCATTAGCAAATGTTATTTCATGTGCCTCTAAGTCCCAGAACACAGGAGAAGAGTCTTTTCAAGCTTGACATGTAAATTGCAAGGTAGAGAAATGACTGCTGACTGCATTTATTACCCACATTATTGGCCAATTTGTCAGTTGCTACTGAAACCACTTGCTTGCTCTGCCAGACAAAAAAAGCATCCCACAACAGGATTGAAGGGAGGAGGTAAGCTGTGAGAAATCAGTTTGTGATGTACCTCTACATCATCAGGTTATGAGACAAGCAAGGAACAGGAAGAAAGGAACATGAAATCATTAATGTATTAATGAGTTAATCATCTCCTGTTAATTATCTTGAGTTAATTATGCACCTGTGTGTGCATGTGTGTCTGTGTGTCCCTTTAGCAATGGTGCCGCAGGAACCAAATACAATTGAATGGTTAAGTATTCTTCCCTCAGTGTTTGAAAAACTGAATGTGATTATTAGTTGTAGAAAGGTAATTTAGCACTCATTATTTTCTACCAAAATGGCTATTCTGCAAGCTAAAATGAAAAGAGATCTCAGGTGTCAACTCAACAGTTGATGAGACATTTAAAAAAACCCCTTCAAGCAGCTCGATAGCAGCAATGTTAAACCTCAGCTATGTCTCTGGCATCTCATACTAATAGAGCTTGTTCCTATGAAGAAGGCCGTTCACTTGCTTGTTGTTTTATCTGGCACTGCTCCCTGCACAAAAATCAATCTCCAATTCCTTTTAATGTTTAGCAGTAAATCCAGAAAGCAAAACAAAGCATATGAGTCTTGCATTTATTATAGCAGCCTCTTGTATTTGGCTTCAGGGCAGCCTTCTAATCAAGGGAATGAATAAACAGTCATTGACTCACTTTCAGGGAACATGGGAGAGAGCTCAATCTTCCTTAAGGCCAGCACAGAGAAGGGGCCTCCAAATCATAAATCAAAACACTATCAGTCTGTTAATTTAGCCTGGCAATTATTAAGATGTTAAAGCATTTGTACTACTATGTTTATTGATGGAGGCTGAGGGACAAATGCAAACTTCCTTAAATCTCTGCCTTCATGGAAAATGGAAGTGTCTTATAACCAATATAGCATTTTCAAGGACGGATTTTTTTTATTATTATTATTTTTTAGTTTTCTTATTGGCTTCTTTCCATCTAAAAGCTGTAGAAGTATGAACTTGTACATAAATATAGGCATATTTTTTTTCTACATTTAAATAGTCATAAATAGGCATAAAAAGTGCTTAATAGGACAAAATGGCATTTTATACCTACCATTTTCTGTGGAGCAGACTCACTGGATAGTTACAGAATTATATTTCCTCTTATTCCTACTTTGGTTGTATGAATCTTAACTACTGTGATCCGTTCAAAAGGAGTGGGAGATTTCCCACAGCCTTTCCTTTAGGATCACTGAAGTCTTAGAATCTGAATCAGCTTCTCAAATAAGTACTCTTGACTACTAGTCCAGGATATAAAAATTAGTGAAATCATCTTCCATTTTTCTTTCTAACAGTATTTGCTACATGAGAAGTGGGGCATGTTCCAGGCAGACACAAAGAATCTGAGAAATCTTTAGACTTATTTTACTTTTAAATGCTAGTTTATATTCTTCATGGTTTCAGAGAAAAGTTTCAAAAAGGATATCCTGAAGGATCTACCTGAGGAGAAAAAAATAACATTTTTTTATCTATTTACTATCTGTCTATCACAACTTTCAGGGCCAGCTTCCTTTGTTTTGTTTTTTAGTATTCAATTTTGGAAATGAACTAAAAACAAAACCCACTTCTTTTAGTACTTCTCCTCATATTTCTAAAATTTTCTAAAACATTAAATTATTAATTTTAGAAATTTCACCTGAAGTTAAAAGTTTTTTAAAAAGCTTGCAATAATTTCCTCTTTTCATGTGGCCTGCAACAACACAGATTAATTTATGTGAATGAGGATCTGTTCCCAACAAAAACATCATAGTGTCTCCCCAATTGTGCTAATTTTGATTAGGATAGCAGCATATCAGATATCCTTCTGCTACAAATTATTTTTAAATACTTGTAGTTAATAAAGATATTCACATTACCCTCTCCTTATTAGCTGAAAAATTAGGTTTAAATCCATGCAGAAGATAAAAAGCTGAAAAGCTGAATGTCATGGAGAATAATGGAATTTCAGTAATCCCAGATGGCTCATCAGGGTAAGCAGATAATGAAACACACTCTTGCAGCCAACAGCAACTTTTGATTTAGTTGCCCAGAGGAGGAAGACAATACTTCAAAATCTTTTCGGTCTGTGGATTTTTATATAATATTTTTAGTGTTTAGCTAGCTGCATTTGATGATCTTGAAAAAATTAAAACAATTTGATTAAGGTAGGCATAACTGTAAAAGATGCTTAGAACCTAAAAAACCTAAAAAATAAATATTCATCTAATCATTCAGCCCTGCTGGAAATCCTAATTTCTTGGCATGCCATAGAATTGTGCATCATTGCTTTCCCAAATTATTCTTCCTGAATGCCATAGATTGGTCATATAGTTTTCTACACAACTTCCTCTCTTCTTGCTCGGTTGCTTTCTTGCTTTCTTTTGCTTTCTT